TTTGTTTTCCTCCTCCCCCATCATTTTTCCACTGATGATAGAGGATATTTTGGGGTTTTGTTTTGTTTTTTAAAATATCTGATTATGTCCCCAGCTGCTTATTAAAATACTGCAGTGGCTTCTCTTTGCTCTTTGGATAAAGACCTAAGGTCTTATCGTGGTCTGTTCGACTTGTGTGGTCCAGTCTCTGACTGCTTCCAGCCTCGTTTTATACAGTGCTCTCAGCCTTGCATATGCTTGTGCTCCGGATACACTCCCATTACCTGTTTTCTTTCCCACACCCCTCTTTTATATCTATTTTTCCTTTGGATACCAACTCAGTCACCATTTCCTAAGGAAGCCTCTGACTTAACTGGCTAAGTTAGTTCCCTAATTATAAACTCTCACAGCATCTCTCTTTTTCCTTTGTGACATTTATTACCACTGTAATTTTATTTTTATATGCGATTCTTTCATTATTACCAGTCTCTTCCACTAGATTGTAAGCTCTATAAGCTCTGTGCCTGGTTTTGCTCACCATTGCATTCATACCTACCACCAGTAGCCTGACATACAGGTATTCAGTCTATATTAGTTGGGTGAATGAATGATGAATTTTTTGTTTATGTTAGTTAAAAAGAACACAATTCTGTAGAACCTCAGTAATAAAGACACAAGATACTAAATATTGCTTTTACTTACAACACTTTGGTGACAATAAAGGATCGTTCTGATCTTTTTTTACCTATTATACATATTATAGAGTATTAAATAATTAAATGTAGTAAAGCAAGATCATAAAGAATCACAGAGTAGGAAAAAACCTCAGATATCCAGTAATCCAGGCTTCTTTCTCACGTGTTATGTCAGAGGCTCTGCAGCTTCTTGAACACCTCTGTTATTAACAAGGGACTCAGCATCAACAAAGGCTACTCTGCCTTTTAATTTCTTCATGTTGAGCCAAAATTGGCCTGCGGTATTTTCTATCCATTAGTGTAAATCTCTAAAGTGACACTTAATAGGTCTGTCCCCTATCCATACGAAACCTTTTCAAGTGAAAAGACAGTCACTACTCCTTTAGTTTTCGTTGTCCCAACTCTTCCGCCCACACACTGTGCTCCTGCTCTTACTGGTTCTGAAAGTAGCTGTGTCCTCTCCTTTCTTCTCCAAACCTTCACACAGTTGTTTCTGCCTTGGAACCCTGCGCTTCCCTTACCCTTCCCGCTTCAGGTCGCAGGCTTCCTCCCTGTCCCTTAGGTCTCAGCGCGGCCCCTGAGCGCTCCTCACCCCCCGTGGTCCTGGTTGCCCCCTCTGTGCTCTCGCAGCCCTTGTTCACCCCCTGAACTAGCTCAGGCCTCATTTTAACCCAGACTGTTAGCCACACGAAAAAACCACAGCTCACCAGTGCTGCTCATGTTATCCTAACTAATACGGTGCCTGACACATAGTAAGCACCCACTGTACAGTGGCTCCTCGGTTTTCCAACGTCTCTGTGGACGAACATTTCGGGTTACGAGCACCGTAAGCCCGGCAGGAGATGCTTCGGCTTTCAAACATACCTCGGGAGTCGAACATGCCCCGCGGCCTCCCTGAGGGCAAGGTCCTGAGGCCTGGCTGTCGCTGTTGGTCCCTCGGTTTTCCAGTGTTTCAGAACTCGACCAGTCTTCCGGAGCGGATCACATTCAAAAACCAAGGTGCCTCTGTATTTTTGACTGAAGACATTTGAGAACACCAGCTTCGCCATTCTCCTAGCTAACATCCATTGTTTTTTTCAGCCATGCGTGATTTTACCAGCTTCAGGATATGCTCCAACTTGTCAGTGTCCCTCCTTAAGAGAGAAGCACTGAGAATATATCATAGTGTCCAGGAGAGGTGTGACCTGGACTACCTGAAACATATTATCTCTGTAGATTGAGAGTCCTGGGGGGTTTATGCTCAGGTGCAAATTTTCCTACTCTGTTTTGGTTGTGTGTGTGTGTTTTAAGGGTGTTAATGAGGTGAATTTCAAGAAGAGGTGTTTTGGAAACAATTATTAACTTCCTCAAGCTGTTAATCTATTCTCCAGCTTGTCAGCTACTGTCTTACGCGGAAATCTGTGGTTGGAAGGTGTGCTTTTCTGACCCCTCTCTTGATTTCTGTTAAGCAGTCCACTACCGTTTCCTTTCCTGACCGCCTCAGTATTGCATTCTGAAAGTGGCAGGTATTTTAATGGTATATGTTTGGGGTGGGGGTAGGAAAATTTGCTTAACTGTTGTTATTTTGGGTGGTAGAAAAGGAAACAGTATTTATAGGAATTATTATCTAGTACAGTGGGGAAGACTTTAAGAAATAGGAGAAACAGAGTAGAAGAACGGGAAAATAGGAGTTGAGGAAAAACCAGATGGCAAAAAAAGTAATAAGGAAAGAGAATGCAATTTTGTGGTTACTTGATCACCTACCATGTGCTTCCACAGTGTTATATACATCAGTCGTGTTGTCTCTTCCATACAATGACTATAGAAAGTAGACATATTAATCTCATTTTATAGAAAAGGTGACAATCTGATACACACAACTACTGAGTGGCAGGATGTTTCAAACCTGGTTCTAACGTAGCACTGTTCTCATTTGACTTAGCAAAGAGTTCTGTCTGTGAGGTGAGGCAGATGGAGGTCACTCTAGACTCCAGAGCCAGTGGCCTTGGTTCAGGTCCTGGCTCTGTCTAGGCTCTAACGCCTGCTGGCTCTGGTACCTAGGTCTCTGTCTCCCGCATTCTCCTCATCTGTAAAATCAGGATGGTCAGGGTACCTTCCTCTTAGAGTTGCTGTGAAGTACTTTTAGTTAGAATAGTAAAATGCCTAGACCCGTTCCTGGCATATATGAAGTACTGTATGTGTTTGCTGCTGCTGTTGCTCTTGATACTAGTTTGTGCGCATGTCCCCTTTGAAAGAAAGGTCTCATCTGAGAATTTGAAAAAAGTGTTGTCAGAACTGTTGCCAGGGCTGTTTCATCAGCCTGACTTGATCAGACTTGTGTCAAGGTTAGCCTCTTAAGAGTTCTTATGGTGTCATCATATCCTTCATCCCTAGCCAGGCTTAACCCCCCAAATACACACACACACACACAACACACACACACACACACTCTTAACCCCCAAAATACACACACACACACACACATATGCACACACACTTAACCCCCAAAATACACACATACACACACACTCTTAACCCCCAAAATACACACACACACATATGCACACACACTTAACCCCCAAAATACACACATACACACACACACTCTTAACCCCCAAAATACAAACACACACACACACACACACACACACACAGCCCCACCTTCCTCCTTTCCCCTTGTAGAATTAGGAGCCAGTTTAGACCTCTTTAATATTATTATACAGAAATGGAAGAATAAAGATTCACCTTAGGTAATACATAAATAAGGATAAGTAACATTAAGTTAAAATTTGTAGTTTAAAGCAAAAAATTTAGAAAGAGCTCCATTTTACTTTTTTTTTCTTTTTTCTTAAAATAGGATGCTTCCTAGCCTCCCTGTGATTCATGTCTGTAGGATTTAAATAGATTGTTACATGATAATAAAGAGCTTTGGACATTTCTGATGATTGTTTCTACTGTAATATAGCTTAATTACCTTAACTGTCTTTCCTAGGAAATGAGAACTTATTTTTAAAAATCATTAATCCTTCTATCTTGCTTAAGATCACTTACTAGATTAAGGAGAAAATATAAGTAGAGAAACAGCTGTAACTTTTACTTTGCAAAAAGCCTGAAGATCTCTTTTATTTTGAAAGTAGTGAAAGAGCAAGAAGGAGCCCTTTTTAAAATTCCTGTTTGGAGACCTGAGGAGCAAAGATTTTTTTTTTAAGTAATAAACTAGCTCATTACTTTTGGCTCAGTTAAAATAATTAATTTCAGTTGATTCTTTGTTCAAAATTCACCGTGGAAGTCTTGATAATTCAATGAAGTATTACAATAAGAGTTTTAAATGTTTTTTACTACAATCAAGAATTACATATGTGTATTATTTATGTATACTAAAAATAATCTATTTGATTATTGTGAGCATTGTTCTAAATATTAATTTATTATAAATTATATAAATATATAGTATATTACCCATAGTTTTCTTTTTTCTTTTTTTAATGATGCCATTTAGTTCTTGTATGACAACGTTTACAATACTTAAAAACAAAACATCATCAACAGAACAGTGTATTCTAGGAAACTATTCCTAACCTTAGTTATAGTAGAAATTATAAAAGTTCAGTCCTCATAGCAAAAAAAAAAAAAAAAAAAAAAAAAA